AAGATGCATGAGGCCCAGGTTCTGTGGTTGGTGACACTCTTTGTGGGTTGCTGGAAGTTAGTGTCTGCACATCTTTAGGAGATGCTTTGTATGAATGGCAGTGTGATTTAGGGTATAGGTCGTAAATGCGATTCCAGTTAAAAGGAGTAGCCGGAAACCGAGAAGGGGGGTGCCTGGAGAGAAAAGGTGTTGGAGGAGAAGGACGAGCAGGGGCAGAATGTGGAAGAGGGTGCCTAGAGAGAAAAGGAGCTTGAGGTGAAGGACGAGCAGGGGCAGGATGTGGAGGTGGAGGAAGACGACGTCTCCTCCTCATTGGATTTCAACAAATTTTTCTACTAGGTTCTTTCCCTTTCCTCCAAGGTTGGTCTACAGTGGTTGTGAACTGGGGCTCATCTTCTTCATTAAAATCAAATGTGTCCATTAGGGCATGGTATGGAGTCCTAACCTCATGAGTAATTTCTTGCCACCTTTTCTTTTCATTGTTGAATGCTCTTTTGCATTTCACATATGACATGGGCATGCACTTTTAAGGCACATTGCCACACTTGTGACCTGAATGCATTTTAACCCAGTGTATGCCCTATATATATATAAACATTCTCATTTGTTTTCCCCATTCAAAATTCTATTTTCCTATCCTCATTTTGGGTTTGATTTCAGATTGTTAGGCCTAGATGAAGGCATTTTTTAACCACTAGTTCGCCACCCAAACACATCATCAGAAGCACCACCAATTACACCCGCATAAACCGCCAATCACCATATTCTCAAATCAGCAAAAATTCTTCAACCAAGAATTCACGACCATGTGCAAGTGCGACATTCCTACATAAAAAGAACATGTGAACCAATTACAAACCTCTAATTTGTAATACGTAATAAAACTTTGAATAAATGATGAACTCATTGGATAAATGGATAATAAAAGCATTAAATGTAAGGGCCTTATTGTTTACAAAACCTGCACAAGAGCCCCTTACTTTTCATTTTTGAAAGGCTAGAACTCACCCGAAAACTCCAAATATTCAACCAAAAGTTCCCAAATAAACATTAAAATAAACCTATTGCTGGAAGGAGTGGCTATGTGGAACTCAAAGTATTAAATTCAAAGAAACTTTCTTTTCTTTTATTTTATGTATCTGAATTCTACTTACATGGGCCACTATACACTGCTGTAAATTAAATTTAAAGCCCTAAATATAACCTAGCATCTTTACTTCTACTGCCAAAGCAAATGAAAGCCATCCATGAGCAATAAACAATCATCTACTATAGTTTTGAGTACAATATATATTCCTGGAAATTCACAGAAAATGTGAAATAAAACTGAAAAATAATTAAATTTACTGGGAAGACTTTGACAATATCTCTTACTCTAGGGTTTTAGAGAGCATGAAAACCCAACTAGGGTTTGGAGGAACCCCTTAGGAACAAATTAGGGCGGGGCTTGAAGGCATAGAATCCTGATATGGCTAGGCATACCCCTTTTTCTCCACCAAATAGCAAAACTCTAATTAGGGTTTCAATGTGCCACCCTTGTCTTATCAAATTTTGGTGGCATGATCCTCTTTGGAAAGGGGGAGAGAGAACAATGAATTTTTAATGAAAAAGAGAGAAACTTGGTGCTTGGAGGCGAGAGAAATATGTGCCTTGAGAGAGAGGGGGCCTCAATGGTGTTTAAATAGAAAGAGTTTCTTCTCCTATTTGAATTAGAATTCATTCCTTAGGTATTGCCTATCCAATGTTACAGCTTGACCAAAGAAAACTTAGGCAATTTGTGGGATGAGAGAGAATAAATCTAGGCCATTCATTTTGGGAGCATTTTTAGGGACCTTATCCCCTAATAATTTGACTTAAGTCGAAATTCTATTTAAATTAAAGTTATAACCAATCCAAAACTTCTTAATATCTTTCCAAAATCTGTAGGAAGTCAAAAGAATTGGAGTTTTGGTCAAATCGAACGCTTAATTAAAACGATCGTTTAATATTTAAAAGATTCCCTTAAAATAACCTTTTAACAAAACAAGAATGTAACATAAATAAAAGAAAGAGGTGTGCCACCCAAGAGACATTAAGTGGCCCCCACAATGGCCCATGTCCCACCATGGGTGGCACACATGTGGGATTGGATCATGGGCCCCACATATGGCCTTCCAAATTTTAGAAATTGCAAATATGCCCTTTTGAAGGATTTCACAACAGAAATAAATTTTAATATTCTGAAAAATTGTAAAACAATCATAAAAACATTTGAAATACGGAAAATAAAGTATTTTAGAAGTAGAGTGGTACCAATGGGTCAAAATAAGTAACAATAAGGGCACTCCACTTTACCCAATAGCCATAATCTACTATTGCTTTCTTGTCCAACCCAACAAAGACTCATGATCCACTGTCTCGATGCAGAGGCTCATGATTGGCTTGTCAAAGTTGGACAATAAACAATGGAACCATGATCATGGAATGTGGATTTCAATCACCTTTTTAAGAGCAAATCCAACACTTGCCACCACAGAGGGGGCTCTCTTTATGCACATGTATGTGTCCCTCTTTAGGACCGTTTCCTAGTAATGCGGTTGTCTTGTGTACATTTCATGCGGAAGGTTGTTGAGGCTTTGACCTTTGCTCTAACAGGCCTATAACCACACACAAGAGGCCACATAGTTCTCCTGGCCTATAAATATCATTCTTTCTGACCTCAACAAGGGATGACCTACTGTAAACCCTTTTCGGTAGTGCCACATACTCAAGGGAAGGGGTTTTAGACATAACCATGGCCATAAACTGCCCAACCCATGATTAATCAACACACATGCTCCCACAAAAGTGCATATTTTATTATAAATTATCATTTTTACAAGCTTTCTAGGTCTTTAAAAGCCACAAAACCCAACAATTGCATCATACATTATTCTTTGGAGATATTGGAAATAAAATGTAGATAAGCATGAACTCAAAAAAATTATTTATTGTTCGTATCGAAATAAGAACTTCGGAAACACACGAAAATCAAACTATGGACAACTTCTTTATTTCCATTGAACTGAACAACCAAAAAGAAAAATATACGATTATCAGCTTCACAACCAAAAGGTACTTATTCACCCAACATAATAACTACAATAAACCTACATTTCAAAAATAAAATAAAATAACTACATTAAACCTGCTATCTTATCTGTAAAAATAACCATTACAATGTTTTAAAACGACCTTCCTTTTTGCCCAAATCCTTTGAAGTCCCTTTTGTTTTGAAACTTCTCCTTGTCTAAATCAAAGCAAGAAATAAATGCAGTATACTTACTTGGACTTTGATGGCTGATGGAGTCTTGAATATGTTACCCAAAATGTCCCAAAGCTTGCTAGAAAATGGCTTGAGATTTAGGGGTTTTTAGTAAAAAGAAGGGTAGAGAGAGAGAGAGAGAGAGAGAGAGAGAGAGAGAGAGAAGTAAAAGGTCAATTTTGGTCATAGATGTGAGAAGCTTGGTTGGTGTTCGAGATCCCCAATTGAAATTTCGCTCAATGATCATGGAGCCGTAGCCAAAGCTGGCTTCCTCCTATCAAGGGATCTCATTCCCTATCTTATGGGAATCTCGATCCCTAGCTGAAAGGGATCTTGATCTCTGTGGTTTGGGGATTACAGCCCCACAAAAAATTGGGTGAGATCGTGGTTAGAAGGGATTTCAATCCCATGGGGAGTTTCAAAAGGTTTTGATTTTTGAACCTGATAATTTTATTTTATTTTGTATTGAATTTTGTGCCTTCTGATGATTTCTGGCTAACAACGCGTTAATTTTGTGTTCCGTTTATATGATCATGGTTTACATCAATGGTTAAAAAATGCCAGCTTGACTGGGAATCGCTTGAGTCGACTCAAGACCTAAGGGGGTCCTGATTCTTGGATGATCCCGAGCTGGGGAATTACTTGGATTGTCTAGAGCATGGTGGTTCTCATTGTAGCAAATCACCTTGTCTTGCCCAGTTCACTGCTGGGACTTGGGCGCTTGCGTTCTTATCATGGGCCTGCAATCTCATTTTTCTCTTTTTATGCGACTTTTATGCTATAGGGTTTTCATTGTGTGTGTGTGAATAATGTTAAGAAGTGGATTGCACATTTTCCAATTGTTTAAAGTGCCTTGAGAAATCAATGAAATGAAATAAAATAATACATGCATATATTAATCATATACATACATATACATATATACATGTATACATACATATATTAAGTATATAGGGCACTCTGTGAGTGCTCTTATACATATGGTACATATGTCAAGCCTTTCCTAGGCCGCTCCCTTAACATCTTACCAGTTGCTCCTAAGGTAGGGAGCTTCAGCCATTGGTTGATCCCAGGGACCCATCCCCAGTCCAATTCCCACTCCAGCTCCCAACAACTATGATTTTAGTCTCTCTCTCTCTATCTCTCTCTCTCTCTCTCTCTCTCTCTCTCTCTCTCAGAGAAAAGTTGTCATGGTCAATTTTTCTCTCGCATTATTTAGCTTAAAACCAAGGGAAATGTTGGTTTGTACTAAAATGCTATTTGGAATGGGTGAAATTACCAAAAACATTGCCTAAACTAAGTAAAAGATAGGCTGGAAATATGAAAAAAAAAATTGTTTATGGAATTATTGGAACGTCAGGTCCTTGCCAGTTTGGTCTGAACAGTTGACATGGCCAGTACAGGTCTTGAACTAGAAATTCTCTAGTTCGATGGCCCCACCAATTTGGGACCCTCGTTTTGACTGGTGGGGTCCTTGGCTCCTAGCCTAGTTGGTCGAGACTGGTGGGGCCTCTGATACCTTGTCTAGCTGGTCTTGTCTGGTCTCAATATCCCTGTATAAGGGTAATAAGGGACGATAGCTCCAATTCAAGTTACCAAGATAAAGTAGCAATTGAGAGAGAAAATTAAGGATAATTATTAACTGTTAACCTTTTCAAAAAAAACAGGGAAAAAAAGAAAGAGGATAATTGTTGCTAAACTTCTGATGCCTTGGCAGGATAATCCATCAGACAAGGATATTAATCAAGGAACTCTTGTAGTTTTCAACCTTGATCCATCAGTGTCAAATGATGATCTCCGTCAAATATTTGGTGCCTATGGAGAAGTCAAGGAGGTAGCACTTGTATTTTATTTGCTTTTCATTTTTTGTGTCAATCTTGATGGTTCCTTACTTTGCTGTATAAATCTTAAGCAGATTAGAGAGACTCCTCACAAGCGTCATCACAAATTTATCGAGTTTTATGATGTGAGAGCAGCTGAGGCAGCACTTCGATCCTTGAATAGGAGTGACATAGCTGGAAAACGCATCAAGCTTGAACCAAGCCGTCCTGGTGGAGCTCGACGAAAGTATGCTTTTAAAATATTTATATTTTCCTGTGAATTATCTTACATATTTCTTTGAGTTTTGACTTTTGTACTTTCATAGATGTCCTTAGTTCTAGTAAATTTCATGAATTTCTGTCAGACTCTGGCAATCATTAGGGTAGTCCTGTTGCAAAAAGTTTAATTGTGGTGGGACTATATATAGAAAAGAATTTACTGCCTAGAATGAGCCATGATTGACGCCTTCACAAGTATTATTCAGAATTTTCCTCAATTAGATTGTCATTAGTCATCAATAGATGAGCCGTGATTGATGCCTTCACAAGTATTTTTCGGAATTTTCCTCAATTAGATTCTCATTAGTCATCAATAGAATGGCGGCTCATTTATTCTGCTGTTAAACTTGAGCTATAAAAAAGAAGTGTGTTCATATTTTGACGTGGTGTCATGCGACTTCAGTAAGTGGAAATAGTGATACTGTGAGAGGAAGCTGAATTTTCTCACTTTGAATTGGAAAGAACAATAATTGTGACTCAACACTGTTAAAAATGTTTTCCGATATTTATTTTTTTTTAAATTATTACTTTTTTAAATTATTATGTTTTCCGATTTTTTTTTTTTTGAAACTATTACTTTTTAAAATTATTACTATTTTTTATAGTTCAATGGACCTAATATTATGAATTCCTATCAGCTAGCCATCTTGAACTTTCCATGCTGATGAGTTTGCAATGATCAATGCTGAACCCGATGTGCTTTTCTTGCAGTTTGGGACCTATAGTCTATTGATACTTTGGAGTAGATTGTTGTATGTTATTAGTTTAGTGCTTTTCTATGTGGGCTCACTTTTGTACATGTGCAATGTTTATCCACATTTAATATTATTTGATCAGACAGAGGCCGATTACCTTAGGCCACTCTATGTGAGAGGCAGATCCTTTGAAGTGATCTTTGATCCGAAATCATCTCGAATGGGTTGTACGAACTTTGGAATAATGCATTCAGCATTTTGTTTGGAGAACAGAGACCAAAGCACCTTCAGATGAATCCCTTTGACTCTTTTCCAAGTAATTCAAGCCAATCCCCTTTCCTAGTAGATTGTCATGCATATTCTCCACTTCTTGCTCTGCGTGGACCCGCCTAGGCGCTCACCTGAACCCACCTAGGCGCTCGCCTGAACCCACCTAGGCACCGCCCAGGGCCTACGCCCCGCCTAGGGGCGGAAATGCCGCTCGTTGAGGCCATTTTTGGGTCATTTTGGTCATTTTTTTTAATATTAAAGGTGCAAAATTGTGGGTTTTAGGTTTCAAATGAACCTAAAACCCATTAGAGGCTATTTTAGAGAGAGAAACCGAAAAACAAATATTTTTTTTACTAGGCCGTAGTGGTTTTGGGCTCCCGCCTAGGCGTTGGGCGGCCTGGACCCCCCCCGACCGCCTAGGTGCCACCTTGCGCTTTTTGAAACACTACTCATCAGTAATACAATGTTAACCTTCTCTCAAAAAAAATAAGGAACGAAGTATGATAACCTTAGAAGCCTGTGAAGGCCTATAAATGTTTCTTGACATGGCCCTTGTTACCACTACAATTCAATTGCCTGCATTGGTCTTGGGAACCCCTTGGTTGCAGAATTAGGAATCCTAAGTACCGAGATCCCACCCACTATCATGTACATAGTCAGCTAGATGTGGGTTAGGCGAATGCACCGACAAAAAACAAGTGTGAGAAATGAAGCAAAACTAAGATTACACTGAAAGAATACTGAATTGGCATGATTCTCCCAAAGAGGCTAGTTCTATGTCCTCGGCAACTTGAAATCCACTATTGCAATAAAAGATGTAGGTTTGAATTGCAAAGGGCCAACTTTCTTGAACTATTGGCAAAACCTGTCATTATCCCTTTCTAATCCTCTTCCAATGGGCCTACATTCACCGCTCAGCAATTCAAAATATATTATCCCAATGAAAGACATTGTTTTGGTTTACAAAGAACATACATTTATTCTACCATCAGCGAACCTGCCATTCTCCCATTATTAATTTGTTCCCTTGACCAAATGACACCGTAGATTATCTCCCTTTTTCCCACCACTATACCGCTACCAGAAAGTGAACAACTGAAGCAACTGGGAGATTGTCTTTTTAGAAGTAGAGTAAACCAACCCAAAACTGCATGGAGACCAGCTTTCTTTAGGAGTCCATGCCTCTCTTTTGGAAGCCCAGATCCCTCATGGAGACCCCCTTGACCATGGTCCAGAGGTGGGTGAGGATTACCCCAACCTAAAGGGTGACTCAAAAGATACTTATTATTCTCTCTTTGGTTCCTCTATTATAGAAGTCTTTCTTTTCCTTGCTTTTTTTCTCCAGATCTAAGACTGCACTGCAACCCCAGAGAGATCGGGGTTCCATCATGTACCTATGCAGGTCAACTAGATCTTGGAGTAGTTCTTAATCCAAAAAGAGGGAGGGGGGGGGAAGAAAAGGAAAGAATACTATTGGGGTTTTGGAAGTCCCTACTTCTCAGCAGTTAGACCCACTTACATATTAAAAATTCATGAATAAAAAAGACTTTTTAGATAAGGGTTTGTAAAGTTTGATTTGTGTCCACTTAATGAGTGAGCTGTTTTTTATGTGCTCTCCGTTCTTCCAGTCTCTACTTTTTGGTATATCCATGTATCACAGCAGTGCTTACAATAATAAATGTTGGAAAGAACTGTTGATGAGACTTTACTTTGATCATACATCAATCATGTCTTCCTTTGCATCCTGGTCGTTCATGGTAAAGAGTTTTAATAATGCTTGCTTAGCCTTTACCTGCACTGATATGAACAAGATAGAATTTATGAAGAAAAGGGAATGCTGTGTTCTTTGAAAGTATGATAGAACGTGTTACCTTCTTGTGGTTCCAAAGTTTAAAAATTTCCCTCAGATTTTCTGAAATGGGAACTTCTTTAGCAGCTATTAAGTGACTAGTCTGATCCCCGTAACCAGAATCGATTCTGCCTAGGTGGATGATAGATGATGTTATGCTTATCAATTGTTTCAACTTCAATGATTCTCAATCACGGCCATCAATTTTTTTTGTTCAGCTTGATGCAGCAAATGAGTCAAGATTTGGAAGCAGATGATACCCGAAGTTATCGCCATCCAATGGGTTCTCCAATAACTAATTCACCTCCTGGTTGGTAAAATTTTCTTGCAGTGTTTGATTAATGTACAATAGCTCATTCTTCCAGGTTTATGTTGACCCCCTCTGCTTATTTTTCATGCCTGTAAATGAGTTGATCCTATCTGAAATATATTTTTGATAGGTAGTTGGGCCCAATTCAGCAGTCCAATTGATAATGCCCCCCTGCATTCACTTAGCCAGCCCCCAAGCTTAGGGACCTTCAGTCCCATGACCAGTAACCATATGCCTGGGCTAGCTTCGCCCCCAAGCTTAGGGACCTTCAGTCCCATGACCAGTAACCATATGCCTGGGCTAGCTTCGATACTGGCGCCTCTGGTGTCAGCATCTTCTTCAAAGATTGCACCAATTGGGAAGGAGCAGGTTAAGGTGAGCCATACAGACCAGGCTTTCTCTAGCAGCAGTTCAGCTCATGGAACACCTCTCCATTCTCACTCATTTCCAGAGCACAGCAGTGGAATGATGCCTATGGGCCACAGTCCTGGTGGTGTTGCTTCTTTTGGTCCTTCAAATTCAAGTGCATCTGGTATTGGGACATTAACAGGGCCTCAGTTTCTCTGGGGTAGCCCCACCCCTTATTCAGAGCATACCCAATCTTCTGCATGGCCCTCTTCATCTCTTGGCCACTCATTCCCATCCAATGGACAACAAAGCTATTCTTACAGTAGACCACAATCTTTCCTCAGTTCATCATCACGCCCCCACCAGTTCCATGTTGGTTCTGCCCCATCTGGTGTGCATTTGGAGAGGCATTTTGGCTATTTCCCTGAATCTCCTGAAACTTCATATATGAGCCATTTAGGTTTTGGAGGTGTGGGTCTAAGCCGCAATGAAGGTAGCATGCTGATGGGCATTGGTGGTCGGGTGCCTCTGAATTCTGGAGTTTCTGGATTGTCCGAAAATGGATCCCCTAGTTTCAGGCTGATGCCATCGCAGAGGCTTGGGCAACATATGTTCATTGGTGGTGGTGGTTTGTATACTGGCCAGCTCATGGGTGGTGGAGATGCAATGGTTGAAAGGGGAAGAACTCGCCGAGCTGATACCAGTGCAAATCAGATTGACAGCAAGAAACAGTATCAACTTGACCTGGATAAAATTATCAATGGGGAAGATATCAGGACGACTCTCATGATAAAAAACATCCCAAACAAGTATGGCACTACCTCAAAAGCAACTTAAAATCCTTTATTAGATGTTTTATAGAGGATTCATGGGAATCTTTTGGTCAAAATTAACTGTTGGACTGTTTCTGTTCTATTTCAGGTACACCTCTAAAATGCTACTGGCAGCCATTGATGAGAATCACCGTGGAACCTATGATTTTCTTTACTTACCAATTGATTTTAAGGTAATTGGGCTTTGAAGTGTTTGATTAAAGAATTTCTCAAAAAAAAAACAAACAAGTGTTTGGTTAAAGAAAGATATTTTATTTGGGAACTCATGAGTGGGGTTCTTGCTGTATACAGAACAAATGCAATGTGGGTTATGCCTTTATAAACATGATGTCTCCCAATCACATCATCCCATTTTATCAGGTATTTTATCAGCCTTGCTTTGTCTTTGATATGCCTTCTTAGATGACTGGCTTCTCTAGGAAGTGTTAATTATGCCAGTCATGATAGTTCACATTCTTAGACTGCCACCTGTATGATAGTACTATTAAGGTCATCATAAAAATGAATGATAAAATGCTTACAATTGTAAATTTTAATACCTACCTTTGGAGTTAGATTACTTTATTCCAATGCTCAAAAATTAAATGCTGGATTGGAAGTGAGAAATATAAGGGAAATTTCTTTATGAAACCCAAAGCCGCTTGTGAACCAAGTCCTCAAGATATGGTTGTACATTGTAAAGATCCGTATTTGTCATCAGAGTCGATATTTTGGCCCAAATGGAAAGACCTGAGCTGGTTTAAAAATACAGAACCAGACTTGAATGAGTCTGAGTCAGCTTGTTCGGTCAGGAGTCTGACCGGTTAAGACTCTGGTGGGAATCACATGCACTTTAAAGACCTGGACAGACTTGGTCAAGACTTCATGAGGATTTGGGTTATCAGAGTTGAGATCATTGGGAACCAGGGGGTGCCAGGTCCGAGTGTCGGGCAAGTCCAAGGGACTCGCTGAGTTTTTAAATGGCAGAACTGACCATCTTCATATGTGTATGTTCACTGTATGCTGACTATCTTGACTTTTGACGAAGGTTATATTGATTTGTGAGCCTTCTATTCCGAAACCAAAATCTGTGTTCATTATTTTGGCATCCAATTAAATTTGATCAGCACTTTCTTTTGGATATTAGAATATTGAAAACTTGAACGCTTGTCTGTCTTGTATCTATTATTATATATTTAGTGACAAAAGGAATACTCAGCTTGTTCGGTCACGAGTCTGACTGGTTAAGACTCTGGTGGGAATCACATGCACTTTTAAAGACCTGGACAGACTTGGTCAAGACTTGATGAGGACTTGTGTTATCAGAGTTGAGATCATGGGAACCAGGGGGTTCCAGTTCCGAGTGTGTTGGGCCAGTCCAAGGGGCTCGCCGAGTTTTTAGATAGCTGAACTGACCATCTTCATATGTGTATGTTCATTGTATAATGACTATCTTGACTTTGACAAAGACTATATTGATTTGTGAGCCATCTATTCTGAAACCAAAATCTGTGTTCATTATTTTGGCATCCAATTAAAGTTGATCAGCACTTTCTTTTGGATATTAGAAAACTTGAAAGCTTGTCTATCTATCTATTATATATTTAGCGAGAAAAGGACTATTTTATTCTTGTGGCAAGTGTCATTTTTACTTCAAGTTTACCTTCTTAATTATTAATTTATTCTAATTTTTGTCCTTCTGGATTCGTAATTTATTTCAGCTTTTATCCTTTTATTTATAAATCTTTCTTTTAAATCTACTTATTCTATCCTATATAATAATAATATAATATGTTATCAATAAATTAATTTTTGACAAGTATCTTTTTAACTTTCAAGTTTGGCCTCTTGATTATCAATTTATTTTAAATTTGTCCTTCTAGATTATTAGGAATCTGTCTCACTCGCACATACTCATACTCAACCCCCCTTCCCCAACAAAAGGAAAAAAACAAAAGACAGAAAGAACAAGAAACTAACACACCCCAACCCCAAAACCCTATCAAGACCATCCTCTTCTCTTTCTTCATCACCTATTCATTCTCTCCTTCCACCCATTCCATAAAATTGTTACCCACCTCTTTCATCTGAAAATGTTGGCTAAGAGACAAAGGAAGAAGATGCACATAATCTCCCTTGATTTTAGTTCTTAGATAGTGCTTTCCTTAAAATCTCAATGGAAGAATATGCAATCAAATCTTCAAGTTACCAAGTGAATTTGTTTTATTTGTCTAGGAAATAAGTGGGTTGTTCTCTCTTGCTCTCTATCTGTCTTTGATATGCTCTGTGAAAACTCTGCTAGATTGAAATGAAAATAATACAAAATGGATGCTAGAGAGAACAGAAAAATTTGTTGATTTTTTTTTAGTTTTAGAGTGTGGCTTATTTTTCATGTTAATTGTTAAAAAATATATTTGTTTAGTTTTTTTAGATCTTCTAAAAAATTACATATTTTGATTACTAACTCTTAATATTTTAAAATTTGTTTATGACTGTTTCAGAGGTTTTGTAGACATGGATTTATTATATTTTACAAAAACATATGGTTTAGTATACTAGCTTTAATTCTTTTTTCGAGATTAATATCTTTTTGTTGCGAATTTTGATGAATTAAAAATTATGTTAATGTATTTGTTAACTCTAGCTTTCTCTTTCTATTTTCCGTTTTGAAGTAATGCTTTTATTTATGTACAAATATATGTGATATGGTATACTTGCTTCGATTTTTTTGCAATTCTTGAGTAAATTCTATTTAGTTATAAAATTTGACATTAAAGTTAGGGTGCGGTTTGTATAGAGCCACGGTTCTAAACAATCAAAGTAAAGCACACCTTCAAATACTGTTGAGAAATGTGGTTTTAATACTGGCAATCTTTGTTATAGCCTTAAAATATATATTATCTTTAATTATAAAATTTAAAGCTTCAAAAATATTGTAGATCAGGCAGATCTATGAAAACTTGAAAATCTTGAAAATTGATGGTCCAAAAATGCGTTACAAGATGCACTATTTCCGAAACTTGAAATCCATTTTTTTTCTCATTTCCATGCATCTTGATGTCGAGATGATCAATTTGAGGATATTTTGGCATCAAAACAACCTCTTCTAGTGAAATTTTTGAGGTAGGCTCTAATTTGATTGTTTAGAGCCTCGACTCTATATAAACTTTTTCCTTGAGATTATTGATAACTAATTTTTTCCCGTACCCTCTAGCTTTCTCTTGCTATTTTCCTTTGTTAAATGATACTTCCCCTTTTGTTTTGTAATTCTTTTTTGGCTTTTTAAATACGGAGACACATGTATTATTGGATGCTAGTGAGAATGAAGAACATAATGTTTTAACAAAGTACTCCATTTCTCTCACAGCATTGTTGTCTCTCTCTAGATAAAAAGAGCATTGAAGGATTAGTGTATCCCTTCCTATTTTGCAATCTTTTTGTGTTAAATATTTAGGTTTTTTTTTTATATGGTGCTTTTTGGTTTTTCGTATTTCAATTTTACATTTTTGGCAAGTAGGGGAAACGAGAAAATAGTATTATAATCATGAAGATTTGTCATGCACTTATCTTTGGAAGTTTTTCTTTCGGTAAAATATTACTGAGGGCTTTGTTTTTATAATAATAATTACTAAGAACGATAATGATGATGATGATGATGAAAATTAAATCATGAATGACATATATGGTTAGTATGTAACATTGAACTTTATGACTTTTTAAAATCGTAAATAAAGGAGAAATAATCAGAACTGCAATTTAAAAGCCATAAAAATTTTGTAATTAAAAATAAAAGTAAACATAAATGCTATTTAAAATCATAAAAAACCACTATTTAAAAATATAGACGATTTTAAAATTGGTATTTACCTTATGTAGTAAAGACAATATCCTATGTTTTTTAGCTTGCCTCGGGCCTCGAACTCTGTCCTTGGCCCAAGATGAGTAAACTTGACTGAGTTGCTAAAAGGCCCTAAAAAGTAAAGAATTCAAAAAAGTTGTTTAAAAAAAAAAATAAAATAAAATAAAAATTGTAATATTGAAACAAAACTCAGGGCATCATAAAATGTCCAAAAAAGCAAAAGCTAAATAAAATAAATAAAGCATGAATCTAAACTTTTTTAGAAAAATACAAAAATAGAGGAAATAAGGGAAATATATAAGTAGGGCATATGACAAGGAAATCTCACAATTCATCGTAAGAAAGTCCAAGTTACATGCATATTTTTTATACATTAATTCCATATTATATATTTTTATATATTTTTTATTTTTTTAAGTGCCACCCTAGTACTTGGCTCGGCAAGGAACTGAGTCTGAGTAAAAATTCGGCTCAGTCCGAATGGAATTGGCCGCATTTTCAATCATTAATGGTATCAATTATTTTAATTTTTAGAATTTCGTGAATAAAAATACTTAATATATAGAATTATGATATCATTTATTATTAAATTTTAGAATAAGTTATGTAATCGAAGAACCTAATAAACTACAAACATTTATTATCGAATATTGTAGGAAAAATTCATGTGAAGCATTTGAGATTTCATTTTAAGAGATTGGGCTATTGGGCAACTATCTTTAAAGCATAGAATTTTTGTTGAAAAACAGAATTTTAGTTTTTATGTTTTAATTAGTGAGTCGTCAATGAAATTTATGAGTATTAAAAGCCATAAATTAAAATAAAAAAAACTCTTAGAACCAAATTTCTATCTTAAACATTTAATTAAAGAAGTTTTAAAATGTTGGAAAAGGAAGAAATAATGGTCGTAATTTTATAAGATATTTAAAAACTTGTAATTAAAATTTCATATTTTTATTTAGAAATTTCTTTTAAATTAACATTCCTATCTTTTTGTCTTGATTTTTAATTTGTGAATTTTTGTGCTCTCAAAAGTCTGACTATTTTTTCAATTACAAATTTTAAATGTTTGGAAATAGTTATCTCGGCATGACCGTAGAAGGGGAAACCATCTGCTTACTAGTTATTTTGTTTGTATACAGGCATTTAACGGGAAGAAGTGGGAGAAGTTCAATAGCGAGAAAGTAGCTTCTTTGGCATATGCCCGGATTCAAGGCAAGGCAGCTCTTGTTACCCACTTCCAAAACTCAAGTTTAATGAATGAAGACAAACGTTGCCGCCCCATTCTCTTCCACTCAGAAGGGCCAGAGGCTGGTGACCAGGTATAATGAGTAATCTTTCGATCATCTTGCTGCCATTATCTTTCACTATAAGCATGTATTAAGTTCCTACATATGCTAGTATAAGTACCTTAAAGCACACTAACACGTGGACCAATGGTTCAGGAACCATTCCCATTAAACAGTTTGAATGTCCGTCTACGTTCTTCTCAAGATGAGGATTCAGTAGACAGCCCCACTAAAGCCAACAACTCTGTTGAGAAAAAGAGTTAATAGTTGAAGATGGGAAAACTAGGGGTGGAGGTGAGGGATTTTTGGGGGCTCACTTATTTTGAAGTGGTACAACAGTTACATAAAAAATGGACTCGCTCTTTTTGTGAAAGTGTATAAAAGAAAAGAGTGAGAAGAAATAGGTCTGTATTATAAAACAATAGGGCTGTGTCCACTTTTGAGTTGCTGGATACGCCACTTTTGTCGTTCTGTGATTGAAAGAACCATGAGTGAAGTAGAGAATGTGAAGTGGGAGGTAGGGTGGTTTTGGTTTTTGGTGTAGAAAAAGAATTCAAGAGTGATTTGGACTTCGAGAGGGAGGGAATAAGTTAGGCAAGTGTACAGAAGTAAGGATTTGGGTCTATCGATGCTGGTGTTGGTGCATTTGCTCGCCAGTATGTGTATTCCGTGAATTGGATTGTAAGTTGCACTACACTCACACGTACCTGCATATATATCATGTGTGTGTATATGTACATGTGGAGTTGTATTCGGGTGCTTCTTGGAAATTTGGGGAGCTTGGTTTTATTTGTGTACAGAGCAAAAGAACAGGTCTGATTACTCTGCTTCTATGGGGTGGACTTGGGAGGAAAAGTAAATATATTTATATATGGAAATGTATCAAAGAGGACTGTACAGCTTAAAAAGTTGGTCATTTATGTGGTTCCCAAATTTCATGTTCGTATGGAAAGTGGAGTTCTGAAGTTACTTAGATGCTTCAAGGTGTAAATTTCGTTACTAATTTATCATGAAAACTAGGGGAATTGGGTTTATTGTTTCATGGATTCTTTGAATTTTTCTCTGTGAAAATCCCGATCTAATACAAATGGTGCAATGGTTATGTCAACCACAACACTGTAGAAAGGAAGTTTACCCAATTGTTTGAAGGGTTGGTGTACAGTAGGACCATTCTGTTTTGGTACAAGGCAGAATACCTTCCATTCGATGTGAAACCCGAGATGTGAAATCCCAAAGGTTGGAGTGCGACAACAATGGATAAATTTTATTTTAGATTTTGTGCCCATTCAGTATCGCATCTCCAACAATTGAATTTCACATCTAAGGTTCAATTATGATTGTGACTTCCTTAGCAAAACACTATTTACTTTTGTAAAATTTGTGGTTTTCTTCAAATCTTGCAAAGAATTCCTCAGGATTCTTTCCTCTTAAAATTTTTCATTCTAAGCGTTTTTAATGAATTCTTTCAAGAAGTAATTTATTAGGAGGCTTGTGTAGAAAAAAGAGGTTGCTTTTTGGGGACAAGTTTCAAATGGTCTCTAATCTTCGACTTCCCTGACATATCTAATTACAAAGGGCGGAAGGGACACAAGTACAAAACTTCCTAGATACTTATTGTTGGAAAAGATCCGTTACTACATTCTACTGGTCTGAGTATTACAGCGCCGGTACATATTTTGAACGGATATAAATAGCTAGGTCGGGCAAATGCCCTTGGTCACCCCTGTTTCGGGCCGGGTCCGTGCTACAAAATAATGCTCGCAGGCCTCTGTGTATTATTTTCGACTGGGCCCGGTCCAACTCTAGCCCACTGCATGCATGTGGGCATGCACATGTACTGTGCCCAACCATGGCCCTTTTTCTTTAGGCTGTGCTGAGTTTGGGCAGCATTTTTATACATTCAAACCTGGCTAGAAATTTGGGTCTGGGCTAGCCCGAACCAATTTCAGGTGGATCTTAGCCCAGGTCTGGTGGAAAGCGTCATAAGAGGTCACCCCATTTAGTGCTATCAAGTTGACATGTTTATAGCCCTTCATATCGGAGGAACTTGTTTTTAAATCAAACTGTCCCAAAATCGAACTGGAACGGTTAATTGGATTTGGGGTCAATAACGGTTAGCATCAGATTAGCCGGACTAACCGGTCCAGGAGATTTTTTTTTTTTTAAATGGGTCAAAAGCCCCCAAAAAAATAAAAAAATAAAAGAAAAACTTATATTAAGTGTGAACTATCTTATTATTTACATTTATCTTACTTAAAAAAATTTGAAACAAATTTTAATATAAATTAATATATGAGTACTATGGAGATATGCAAGACAATTTATAATTTGATATTAATTCAATTGATGGAGTTACAAAGTTCAACTAACAATGGCTAATAGTAATGAGAGTGGCAAAGGGGTCAAGGTATTGTTGGGTCTCACTATCAAGGTCACTGGACAAAAAATTTGAGTAAGGCCTGGTGGAGTCTGTGGTGCTGCAGCTGTGCCCCTTGTCGGTTAGGAACATTTCCCTTGGTAACCCCTAAGCTAAAGTCTCTTAGAATCATCCAGCCCTCGTGGTGTCCCTCATCCTGTTCTATGTTATGGCCCTCAACAGCTTCAACATTGTCGTCTTTAGAATTAATCAGGTAGGTTACGGTGCCAGCTACGGCTTCGTCTCTCCCTCGTCGAGTAGTTGCTACGCCTCAATGTCTAGACTTCCTCTCTAGCCAATCTTAGTGGATCATCTCTCTGTGCATTGGGCATCGTATTATGTTGCGCTCCTTCACATTCCTAGACGATTGGACTTGCCAATCATTTTCTATTATCCCATCTGTCTCCTCGTCATCCTGCTTCTCATCTTCATACTCGTAGTCGGTATCCATATCCACTACCATGTCTCCTTCATTGGGTGCTACAACGACCTCATCATCATCTATATCGGCAACTGTCCCTCTAAGGAAATCCTGGTTTAGTACTGGGGCTTTTTGTGATACCCACTCATTGACGACTTCCCTCCAGAAGATATAATCAAGGTTAATCAAAGTGTAGTCTATGGGGTTCTTCCTTATTGACCTCTCTCTCAATTTCAAGTTGTAGTGGACGTAAACCAGGTTGTGTAGCGTCATAGTCTTTAAGCTATTTTCTCATATCTCGATGAAGCACATGTTTGACTCAAAACTCTGATTGCAATCTTTTGTAATTGCTTTGTTCCAATTCCGTGTATCGTTCACCATTGCGATGAGATAGAGAAACATAGAAATACTTAACAATAGAGAAATAATTAAGTTTAAAGCCACAAATAATATTGTGCTAAACTATTATAAGTTATAACTAATCTTGGTATAATTTTATAACTGCTTTTTTGACATTGTTGTATGTAAATTCCCATTTTTTCCATGTACATGATAAACTATGAAGAAGATGATGCGTATACAAGAAATTAGTACAACATATAAATACAATTTGTTATGGGGTGCGGTTTCTATTTGGTTGAGGCCCTAAATAATCAACGCAAGGCGCACCTTCAAATAGTATCAAAAGACGTTTCATACTAGAAATCTTGGTGACGTCCTTAAAATTCATTCTTATCTCTAAATATATAATTTAAAGCTTCAAAATTAAGTACTTGAAGTAGGTCAATAAACACTTGAAAATCTTGAAAATTGATACCTCAAAAAATGCATTACAAGATGCACTATTTTCAATATTTGAAATCTATTTTTTCTCATGTCCATACATTTTGAGGTCGAGATGACCAATTTGATGATTTTTAGGCATCGATACAACCTCTCGCCTTAATTTGATTGTTTATGGCCTCACTCTTATATATACTTTTTTCATATGTATCTATGTATAAATATATGTAACTGTATGTATATGTATATACATACGCACAGGTAAAGTACGGCTCGGGTCGACCTGGACCCAACCCAGATCCAACTCAGTTCCAGGGTTTTGGACCATGAACCAAGCCAGTTTTGGACCTGGAACGGGAGCAGTTGACCTGCCAGGTCATCGGGTCAACTTGCCTCGAGCCAACTCCTATTGGAGACATGGATTTTGAGTGAACAAAAAGTGCTGAATGAAATTTGAGAAAACCTGGGTTAAAAAAAAAAAAATCTAGGATCTAAACATGCCTTTTAGGAATTTGTTTGTCGTTATTTTTAAGATACTAATTTTTTTTAGGTGCGGTTTGTGTAAGGTATCGATCTTAAACAAAGTAGTGTGCACCTCTAAATCTTGCTAAATAATACAATTCTAAAGTTGGCATAAAATTTGTTTGCACCCCTATTATAAAATTTAAAGTTCCAAAAAAATGGCGTAGATCGGTAAACATTTCATCCCGTTTTTTTTTTCGTATCCAGGCCAAAAAGGTCAATTGTAGGGTTTTCACCATAAGAAACCCTTAGGACTGAATTTATGAGAAGTACCTTCTACAATATTATATGAATTTTCCCTTCTTTTTTTTTTTTTTTAAATATCAAAGAGTATTTTATTAAACATGCAAAATTATTTTATATGTTTGTATCACTATACAAAATTGTCAGAAAGGACTAGAAGTTGATCACTAACAGTTCTATATCTAAGATAACCATCTTTATCCATCTTTGCTAGATCATAGTTATGGTGTTTCGTTCCCAATAAATGTGGTTAAAAGAATCTTGTTGGCCCCTAAGAATATCTAATTTTGTCTAAGATGGGCTGCAATTGCACGGGATTGCTGCTGCTTTTTAATTCCTTGGATGGCTTCTATTCCACAGTTAGCAACCTAGTCCTGTTGGCCGTTTCTTAGTCCTCTTCCACCATTAGCAATTTACTCATGCTTGGCTTTCACTTCAATACTTGCAGTATGGCTTTGCAGTCTTCCTTAGTGTCTTGAGAAGGTGCAGATATAATTTCACTTGTAGTTCATTAACATCCAACCTATTCTTGTTGGGTCAGGTTTTTTTAGTTGCTCCTATCAAAATTCATGTGGTGAAAGACAGATGCCACAATACTGGAATAATTCGTTTCATGTCATACTAGCGCAAGACTCAACCAAATAGAAAGAAGAAGAACAACCAAAATGAGGTGGAAGAATAATATTCAATAAAGAAAAAAGATGAGTTATACAAAGGCATTATTAATATGGTTTCTAAAAAATACACTTTAACAATTCAGCTTTAACACCCCTTTTGAAGATACGTTGGACCTATTTGACCTCCTCCGCATTGGTATGGAGGATTTAGTTTAGGAAAAAGTTTACATATGGTTGCAAATTTATATTGTAGAAGTAAAGTGCACTCAAAAAATGTAGTGAAGTATAGCTTTATGAAGCTGGAATACCTTTCAATTGATCATCTTGACCTTGAGATGTGTGGATATGAAAAATAATATTTTCAAATTCTCAAAATAGTGCAAGTTAAAACAAGTTATATGGACCGTCCATTTTCAAGATTTTTGAGTGTTTGTAGATTTGCTTGATTTGCATCAGTTTTAGAATTTTAAATTTCATAATTACAGTTGAACTTGGGTTTTTAATCCATCATAAGGTTTTTGATACTGAAACTACGTCTTCCAGCAAAATCTAGAGGTACACCTTACTTGTATAGTATAACATGACACTTTTTACATACCCCACCCTTCAACAATATCTGTGAAGTGGGTGGTGAAGTCCCAGTTGCTATATCCCCAATGCTCCATTTGAACCTTAGCTCAAGTCGTGATTGTTGTGAGAATTTTGCTTTGAGTACATGGATTGAACTTATAAATCTTAAGAAGGCTCTCTTATTTCTCTCCAACCACAATGCCCAAGATGCTACTATTGTATCTTCCATAGGACATATGTTGCTCCTAGAATGATGGGGATAACTTTGCAAATAACTACAAATGAATTTTGCATATCACATCGTATTTCAAATGAATCCTATCCTAGTACTAGATACGCACAGAATGTGATACATACATTGGGATCAATGGATATGATTTTATGAAAATGGATAGATTTGTGAAAAGATTGACAAAGATGTTACATATTTTGATGAAATTATCACAAGAGTATAAATATCGAGAATTT